GGGTAAAATCTACCATAGAGGAGCTGTGTGGGTGTTCTCTGCTCACATGTATGGTGAAACTATCAGAAACCTCATGTTACATTTCCAGAACACAAGAGGGAGCCGTTGAGTATGACAGCAAGCGTTGTCTTCGTGGGACTTTTTCAATGCCACTCATACTTAAACACTTGGTCTGTCTGCCACGTGATAGTTTAAGATGAAAAACATGGTAGTAGCTCAGTGCTGATGATGCTCACATTAAATGTATTTCAACTTGCCTTTCCTTCACTTGGCATTCGTCTCATTCTTTTAATTTGATCTCGTCAGTACCCGGAGGAGTCGCTGAGTGATGACGCTTTGCTTCAGGACGACGATGAGGAGGAAGATGACAACGAGCCTCGCTCTTGGCGTAGATGAAGATTTGTTAGATGCTCCTTCCTGATTCCCCCGGTTTGGAAGACGAGCAACAATCCAACAAATATGAAATATTTCAATGCCTGGTCATAAACCAACACGGCACATTTTACTTTGGCTAGAACCTTCTTCCACACTCAAATGTGTAACTAGCTGGAGAACCGTGTACGAGTTTGATTCTTTTTAATTGTATACCAGATGCAACAATGGTGAATTTTTTTAATGCTCTTAATGTAGAAATCTTTTCTTTATTTTTTTTTTTCTCCATTGTTTTAGTTCACAACACACAAATAATTAGTGCGGACATGTGACAGCTAATCCCATATTTGTTGAACCCTTAGTTTAAGAAAAATTGTGTTGTAATTTAATGGAATGACAGACTTTAGCTTTTTGCAGAATAGTGTTAGTTTGACTGGTTTAAATTCTCATGTGTAAATATTTTATGTTTGAATTCAAATGACCTGTATGAAAGCTTGGCTTCTCAGTTCTTGGCTTAACTTTGGATTGTACAAAAAATAAAGAATTGAAATGGTCTGAAAACATTCTGCCAAAAACAAAAAGGAAAAAAAAAAAATGCAATGGCGGTGAAAAAATAACACTCTGAAAAGAGCTGAAAAAGACCATTTCAAAAAACAAAAAAAACGTCCTCTTCTCTAAAGAGCAAAATTCCTACACACATCAATTTTATCTTTCCTTTTTCTTTTTATTTATTGCTGAGGACCAGTACGGTAACATAAGCCTTTGCACTGATTTCCATGCCACGGTAAGAACATGAGTATAGTGTGATGGTTTGTTTTGCTAAATGTACATTTTGAATACATTTCTTATTGCCTAGTATGAACCAAATGTATACATCTTTTGAAAAATAGCTGATCTCAATACAAATTAACTAAACTAAAATCCTTTGTGTTCTTTTTGTTACAGGTGTTTACAGTATCCAGCTACAATCTTCATTCCTCAGGAGACTAATACATTTCTTTCATTGTTAATTGTGTGTGATGGATACCTGTTGACATTACATGTAATTTAGCTGACTCTTTTATCCAAAGCGACTTACAACAAGTGCATTTCAACCATAGGGGTACAAACTCAGAAGAACAAGAAAGTGCAATTTCCTCAAATTTACAATTTGCTATAGATAAGTGGCGTTATAAGTATAATTTAAGTGCTACAATTTGTAAGTCTTTTAGTCGAGGTAGAGTCTGAAGAGCTGTGTCTCTAGTTTGTGGCGGAAGATGCGAAGGCTCTCTGTGGTCCTGGTGTCTTCAGAGAGCTCGTTCCACCATTTATGAGCCAGGACATCTTGCTTCCATGGCTGAAGGAAATGCAACAAAAACAGTTTGAAAATGTCTACTCAAAAACCTTACCTAAATGTATAACATCATTTGGATTTTTAAAGTATTCTGCTTTCCAATTGCAAGTCAGCTATTGCAGAGAAATCACTTAAAATAGGGTTTCATTATTGGGCCTATGCTTGATTCATAAAAAGGCTACTTTTGCATTAATAAATCAGATATTTAGCGCACTGGCGTGCTTAATAACCCACATCTTACACAACAATCCAACAGCTGCATGCTGCGTCTGGCCAACATGCTCATGAAGGGTCCTTGAGGGGGACTTCTGTTTACTTTAAAGCGTTTAGCCTCAGCGAGCCATATGGGGCTCTGCTGTAGTGACACAGTCTTGATATGACTAATCTATTATTATATACATATATATGTGGAAAATTCCCCGCTGAGGGACTAATAAAGCATCTCATCTAAATGTTGATGCAGAGAAGGTGAACCTGGAGCCCATTGAGCACTATCGTCACATAGAGTGAGTCAGCCACTTTGTGTGCCGTGTGATCACATGTGCTCACGTGATCAGCTGACAATCACCAGAATCGAGCCGCCTGTAAGTTACAATAACAGTCTTTCCCAGACCAGCCATCTGTGTTCCATTTGATGTGACCTGTATTTGACCTGAGCGGCCGTATCTCTGTTGCAAAAGGGATCCTGTGTTACAATATTTTTAATGAAGCAATAAAAAGCTCAGTCAACCTTCCAATAGACCTTTTTCTTCTACTGCAGACATTTTGACGTGTCGAAAGAAAGGAACTGATGTCAGTGAAAACATTTACAATGACTCTTCTGTCCACGTGTCAAAAGAAGACGTGAAGTGATGAGACGTAATGCACAATATGCAGTACTTTTTCTACCGTGACATGTCAACGTGTCCCCTGTCAACTTCTGCTTTCTTCAGACCGAACACGAATATGAGTGTTTTTTTTTAAGCGTTTGCCTTTTGTGAGGACTTCGTTTACACCTGCAGAGAGACCCTCCCCAAAACAGCTCCCACAATCCTTCAGCCTCGAATAAAAGAGGACAAATAACCCAATCAGCCTGCACCCGTTCTTTGTTCCATTGCCACCTCTGGTGCCTGTCGGGCTTGCAGAGATAATTGTGAAAAATCAGATTTGTTCTTTCAGAATGTGGCCGCTTCCCCCCACTCGCGCCACCATCAGAAAACTTCCCCTCGTCCCTCTGTCTCGCAGCAGGCGCGTATTAAAGGCCCCCTTCTGCCACCTCATTGACCTGCTGTGGAGCCACCAAAGCATCATTTGCCATCAAACGAGCTTCATGCAGCTGCACCTCTCTGCAGTTGAGTCGCGGACCCGGGGCTTTTATTTGTCTTGTAAACCGGTTGGGTTTACCCAAATACCCACACTGGTTCAGCAGCACTTTGTGGAACGGCTACACGAACACATGTGTCGAGGGAAGATTCAGCCCCACGTCGTCTCGTGTCCACGTCGGTGCTGATGTGAGTGGCGCGCAGTGATGTCTGAGAGGCCTCCCTTTGTGTCTCGGCGGGCGGAGGAGGGTTTCATGCCCTGCGTGAGCTCAGAAGAGATGTGTAAAACGGATTTACAGCATCGTCGTCATCCATTACAGAAATCTTACCTTCTGATTTGTGTCAAGGAGACAAATGGCGTGACATCTTGGAGAGAGCTGGGATAGTGTTGATTTTTCCCCCCCTTGCTGTCGTGCATGGAGTAGAAAGAGGACGCGATGGAATGTATGACTCACTGGGAAAGAGAGGATCTGTTTGTTCAAAGTCTCACTTTTGTTTTGTTTTGGAGATTGTGAAAAACGATTGTAGTTTCTATTAGAAGCCCTCTGGGATTCAAGAAGTCGGTCAAATGGATATGAGACAGCTATGAGAATGTATTAAATTAATTCTAAATTTATTCATTCATGTTCATTTGAATATTAGCCGTGAACTTTGACAAAACACAAACATTGCTGCATGTCAGTTAATACCAATTACCACTTTTGTAGAATAATACGTGCAAAATGCTTCCTAATGGATGGATTATGTCCTGTGTTTTGGTCACTTGGCTGTATGTTTCTTATCCATATAAAGTGAACGTGTGAGGAAGGTGTGTCTGCTCTACGCTTTCACACGTCTTGCCCCCCCATTGCTACAATGAAGCTTCCCTGTAAAAAACATTAATATTTCATGTGATCATGGGCCTCCATAAGCAAATTTCAGTCCCCGGCAAGTTCAGCCATAGCATGATTAATTTAGTATTTATGCCCCGACAACCCTTTAAACAACACTAGGCCCCCAGCCACGAAGCAAGGCACAGTTTGAAACAAAACAAGCAGCCCCTAAATCATAATCAGCATAGTCGTTCAGGATCATTTGAGTTCGGGGACACATTCTTTTCCATAAATGCAGCTGCTGTTTTAGTGTCTGTGTAAGTAAAGCAACTCCAGTTTTAAAACTTCACCAGTAAAATGTAATGTTGCATGGAGCAAATATTTTGTTATTGCTCAGCTGCAAAACAAAGAAAAACCCACGCGTTTCAGTCCTCCTCACACAACAAGGCGCTTTAACCTGGTCTGCTGACCGGGAGCCCACGTAACTCTGCTGGCAGGGAAATGCCACTGATTCAATTAAAAGGACGGTGTGAAATCCGACTCTTCTTCACAGATTTACTGTCTGCTCGTCGTCTGCTGACTATTTAGGCCTGTTGGTGACGTACTGCATACACAATCACTCTTTTTATGACTCTTTATTTTGACTAACTATACTAAACGTGGGGAAGATGCTGAAAGGAGTCACAGATCTTACTTCTTTTTAGAAGGTGAGAAGTATATAAAAGAAGATCCCTTCCAACCTGAATAAAATGTATTTCAAGCTGCAGGGCAATTCACTCTTACAGTTACCTTTTTTTAAAAATGAAACACTTTATTTACTGAAGTAAACATGGAACTAAATCATAGGACAAGTTTCTGTGATGTTCCCGACCTTTAAATGAAGAACATCTCTGTAAATGGTTGTTAAATTTTAATTGAAGAATTGTATGTTCATCCAAGTAATTAAAATGTCTTGACAACATTTTTCAATAGAATTCTCCCTGCAATAAAAAAACAACGTACTTTCCGTACTTTTCCAGTGAGTGCAGCAGTTTCTTAAATGTCTGGCTGTATTACTCTGTAATCAATTGCTTATTTAATCAAACTAAATGTTTTATCACATTAAGTTCTATTTTAATGTCTGTATTTGTGTAACTTTTCTTCAATGAATATTTCTTTTGAAGAGAAAATAAGGACAATAAAGACAGGACAATGTATTTATTGGAATTGTTGGGCAGAATTTGTGATGTAACCCAACCATAACCCAAAATCTCTCAAGCATATTTTTAAGAAATCAAGTACTATAACATTAAATTAACAGCTGACATTCATATCCAAGATTACTTCCATTAATATATATAAAACCCCAAGATAAATCATTCAATACACTAAATTCATCATTCACTACATTTTTAAAAATAAATTAGCCAGGGTGCAGTTAGAATAGTTTTAGTCTGCAACAGGAGATGTTTTAACCTTCTGCTGTCGTAATGTCAGTGGACATACAGTTGAAGAAGACGACGAGTTCAGAGCGCTTACTGTATGCATTTATTTGTATGGCCATCATCATCAAAGGTGTCCTTGCAACAATTATATTTACATTCACACAACTAATTGCTAAAGTGGAACGAGGCATGTGACTCTTATCTGCAGTCTCCTTTACTCTTTTTAGTTGAGTGTGTCGAGCAATAGCAGGAAACCATTCAGAATCTAATCAGGATTTACACTAACTTGATCCCCGTACAGTTCAACTCCACTAAAGATAATCTGCACACCCTGCTGGACACAGCCGGCTCTTCCCCCGGCATTGATTGGTGGTGATTTGCAGCATGTAATCCAATGCTCTGTGACAGGTTGTAACAGAGGTTAAAGATGGCAATTTAGTTATGGGTCAGAGGTCACATTAAAGGCTGACCTGTGACCAATTGCCACAAGACTGTTTTGATTAGTGACAACCTTGTGTTATGTTTTTTGCAACATACAAATACAGGCGCACAATAGCTGGATGAGTGATTCTATTTTTTTCCCTGCAAGGGAATTTCCAGCATCCAAAGCATCCTATAATACCAAGCTTCTGTTGGTTTATATTCTGGTTTTGCACAGCTCAGGGTTTTTATATTGTCCCTTTAATTTTGGATATTTATTGATACATTTGTGTGTCAATATAAGAACATATGTATTTACAACATGCACCTTTATCCATTATGTATTTTTTAACAATATATACATATATTTTTTTTTCTTTATTTCTATGCATTTATTATGTATTAATAGGTCAAAATGTCATCATTCCCAGGGCAATAGCAGAGCTTTGTTACGCCCAAAAGCATTTGGCATTCTACAGCACAATCTGCATCATTAGAAGAACTAAAAGAAAATGTAGTTTGGTGAATAGGTCAGACCCAACACTATTGCAAGAAATAAAGTATATTTCCCAAAATGTTAAACTATTTTGCTCACATTTACTGATCGTACTGTATCTAAAAGGTTTTCCCTCAAGTGAATAAATGTCAGCCTGCTTGCTTTTCAATATAACCCGCAATATAAGCTTTTTTGTGTTTTGGATTAAAGGAATACGGCTCTGACTTGTTTATGCCACCATGAATGAGTGCAAAGTTGTTCTGTTGTGTCATTAGGCCCCTGGGCACAAACACAGACTAACATTTCTATTGTGAGCCGCATATGCAAATGATGGGGCAATTGTAGATATACAAATATGTACCCGTAGTCCACAAGGTCTAATGGGCCCCCTCCCTCTGGCTAGCTCAATGGCTCATTTAGATATCTGCTTGGTTTATTATGTGAATAAGTCATGGCCGGCTTGTTACGACCCTCTAGGTTCCTGTTTCTGCTGTGTAGCTGAGATGTGTGGTGCTCAATTAGGCTGCCTGGCTAGCAGGGTTAACCCTTTGCGCCAGATAAGCTGTTTTTTCACAGCCAGATGGGGTTGGTACAGTATGGGGGGGTTCCAGGCAGGGGATCAAAAGATCAATCCTAATACAGTGCTACCAGGCTGACCTCTCAGATGTAATAAAGGTGCCATCCTTCACCCTTGGGGCCTATTGGGAGTCTCCCACCACATGAACAAACCTGGTATCTTTAAATTAGCTGACTTGCTTGCCCTGCAGGTAATTGCATTAGTTTATCAATGTTCAACACAATTTATACTTACTCTAGCACTACAAAGATCCTGGTGTTAATGTCCTCATGGAGGAGAAAGAAAGCCAGGTATTTGTGTTTATTAGTGTTCATATGTTTATGTGTGCCTCGGAAAATAACAACATTGCACCAAGAAGTGGAATTACAGTTGTATAGCCAGTGGCAGGTTTTATCTATACAGGTTTATAGGTAATGTTAGTCAGTGGTTTTCATGTGTATATTGAGACCAAATTTTAACATTATGATTCACTTTACACTATGCAAAAATACATTATAATACATATATCGCAATATGCATGTGTTGACCTTTCTGTTGCCTTTAAGGACTCGTGTCACTCTCAGGTCAGTTATGGCTTTTGCACCTACCTTTAAACTTTATCTGACAGCAGACTTATAAGCCTGAATAGATGCTTAAATCTCATTGTCTTTCATTACACTAAAAACAATATTACTATCTGTACTTTCCAGGTTCTGTGGCCACGGGCTGGCGCGTACCTTTCATGCATTATGCATCCGTCTGAGGTAATGAACAGATCCTGCTCTTATTCTAGCTTGCTGCTGTCATTATTCCTCGCCCCTCCGATGGATTATGGCCCACTGTGCAACATGTAGGCGAGTGGCGCTCCTCTGATTGCCTCATGGCTATCAGGCTTTGCATATTTACTGCCAATTAATCACTGTGCGTAGAAAATCCATAGCAACATATTTTGATCTCACCTCCTCTGCAACCTTTAACCTCGACTCTGTTATAAACTTTCTCTCTCATTGGAGCTCTCATCTGACTTCTTCTCCTTCTGCTTTTTTTCTCTCACTACTTTGTCCTTCTCTGACACTTTTTCTTCATTGTCCGTCTTTCCCTCCGCCTTGATTCCGCTACATGCATTCCCAGCTGCTAAATTAAATCATGTATTATTAATGCTGCTATATCTTTGTCCATCCTTCTTGCCTGTTCATATGACTGCTACATTAAGTGTAAATTGTTTTCGCTGTAATTCCCTTTTAATGTTCTTGTTATAATCAGTGTTTCTGGTGTGCGGAGGGAGAAAAGGGAGAAAAAAAGACAGATCACAGGCTTTTACTCTAACTTACTGTTTGATGTGAGGCTTGCATGCTACAGCCTTTGTAATTAGGTCTGTTTTACAAGTCAAATGTGTATGGGGCCAGAAACATCTAAAAAATATGATATTAATAAAGGAAAGTTGTCAGATGTGGCTTGCTATGGTGCGTTGGCTTAGCCCCAGGGAGAGAGCAGCACACTATTCTGCATATTTACAGCCCTTTTTTTCATCACAGCTACCCATTGTCCATTGAACACCCGGCCCTGATTTAAAGACCAGCACGATTTATAACAATCTGCAATGGAAGTTGCCATTTTGTCATTAAGAATTGTTACTTCTCCCTTTTAGATTCAACAGGATCATATTGACCACGCTGTCCTTTTTCTCACGGTTAATTTCTTTTTAAGCGCCAGTTAACAAAAACATTTTTTAGGGGAATCTACCAGTGTTTATCATTTGGGTTTCTGTTGCACAGGTATTGAGCTTTCTCCCTGCTTCCTTCACCTGTGACGTTGGAAAAATGTAATTTCATTACAAAGATACTTTGAATAATACACAGTTTACATCCATGCTAGAAGTAAGGGCATGTTGGCCTGTTGGCTGGTCCACCACTTGGGCCCATACTTTAATATCAATAGCAACCATTGGGCGGATCACCATCACGTTTGATCCATATTTTTCCCAAGATCAATAGTCACATGTTTGGTGATCCTTAAGAGCTTCATCAATACCTGCAACAGTTAGATCTTGCTTTAGCGTCGGGGAGCACGTGAGTTAGCATTAGCATTGAGCTCAAGCTACAGGCCCACAGAGCAAGTGTGTCTCAAGACTTTTAGTCTTGTTCAAAGACAATCTTTAGCGCTGTGAGAAGGACAATTAAAACACCATTGACTTCTATTGCATTGGACTGGTGGCAGAAATCCTAATTATCCCAACGCCTGGGCAAAAGATCAAAAGCACTGATGTACAATGAAAGTCAGGGAAAGTCAATGGTTTTTAGAGAAAAAGGTGTCATTTACCTGTATAGAAAGTTTGGCGAATGAACGACTGAGCATTATTAGCTCATGAGCATTCTGTCCCAAGCCATTACTTTCCTCCCCGTCCTCTAACCGTTGTGTCTAATGGTGTTGACGCTTTACCATCTATCAGTCACACAGCCCTTTGGTTCACCATTATCGATTCCGGAAGGGCCAATTGGTTGGAAGGGGGCTGTAAGATGGGCAATTTAAAACCTACATCCTTCATTATTCCATGAAGGGGGCCGAATGAGATCGTAAGAGAACGGATGTGTGAAGTGGCAATAAATAAAGTGAACGAAATACAACCTGGCGGAAAGACAGGCTGTCTATATGGAGTGTCGTCTGTGATGCCCTCAGAGGAATTATTGGTGGCAGGGAGGATGAGCCGTGGCGTACGGTAGAAGTATGTTCCTCCTTTTATCTGAGCTCTATCTTTAGTAAGACAAATCTCGTGCATGAGTAACGGCACAGCTATCATGTCACATGGAGGCCGGACGGCAGCATGTAGTGATTTTGTGACAGGGAGAAAGTGTGAGGGCCCGGTAATACCGTAAAACAGTGCTTAAATATTTTAATTTCATTGTCAGAGGGGCCCCTCCCTTGCACTCCATTACCTTGGCAACCATCCGTCATCTACTGAATGAGTGCATTATTCATTAGCACTAATTATTTCCACATAACGTCTGCCCTGATATATTTAACCTCCACATTACACCCGGGATAATGGCCTTGTAAAATTGAATTGCGAGAAAGAAGTGGAGTTGGAAAGCTCATTTAAAGAACATAAGAGGGAGGAAATAAGCGTGAGGGAGGTGCAGGAGGTTTTTGAAGCAGCTGGAGAGGGGGGCTGACAGGAAGAGTGTTAAGCACTTTGGCACATGGTGACCCAGAAGTGACGGGACATTTGTTCCTGTCTCATTTGCATGCTAAGAGAAGAGCCCGGTGGTTCTCCGTTGGGTTTAAGAGATACCTAAATACTCCGTGGGTCGAAGGTGCCTTCCAGCCATGGAGTTCAGAGTAGCCATCCCTAATCTGACTCATGACCTTCACCGGATTAGAAGGGTCAAGTCACTTTTACCTCCCTTTCCCTCGTCTTTACCTCTTCTCGTCCTATCTTCATCTCTCCTAGAACCTACATTTTCTCCACTTGTCTCCTTCCTGGGACTTGAAATGGGATTGAACCACCCACTTTCACCTCTTCTCATATCCCCCACTGAGATGATTTTGTCACAAACTTCAAAACAAACTGAGGACCCAGGAAGGCTTTATTCTTGCTGGGCTTTGTCATGAGTCTGACATTTGCCAGCACACGAAACTTAGACCTTAACGGGGCTTGATGCTCCTCGTTGCTTTACCTCGGTTTTTCTGGGGGTTTCCCATCTCTTACCCATGCACAATTAAATTGAGAAGTTCACAAAAATATCATGCGTAGTAACATAAAGATGGTCCACATATAAACACACACAGCAAACTTCATGCTCAGTGGAACATCTTAAATGTAAAGTTCTTTAAAGTAAAGTGTTAACATGTTTTTTTTTATTCAAAGGAATGTTCACAGGTCACTACACTGACATAAATTCATATTTCTTTTCTTTTAATTTATTACACCGTGTAATGGAACTATTAATTTATCAATTATAAAAATAGTAGTTTATTTTCTGTTGATTAAGTCAAATAATAAACTAATTGTCTCACCTTTGTGTCTGAGACTTAGTTCCTCATATTTAATCAAATGCATATTACAAAAAGACTCTATTTTCCCAACATACATTAAAACACATCCGTAGCTTTCATTATTCTATGCCCCTCTGAATTCCTGAGTAATATTGAGAACAGTGACTCCACTCCTCTCCAGGCTATGTGAGTGTACAACTGCTTTGTGTGCTTGATGCCGGGTAATTGCAGTCAATTTCAACTGGGAAAAAAAATATCATTCTAACGCCTTTCTTTCCTAACACCCAGAAGGCAGCACTTTCTATGTGTAAAGTATCCGTCTCTCTGACATTTAGATTTGCCTTTTAAAGATGACATTTTTCATAACTGGCATTTCTTCATATGTTTTCTAGAGGAGACAAAATTATTCTTTTACATCCCAGTGTTCAAGTGTGTTATTTGTGCAACCCTAAGTTGTTTGGTTGTTTGGCTTTACTTTGTCATATTGATTTTATTTCATGATGCACTAACATCGCTGTCATTGTCTCATATCAGTGTATGACAATTTTTCCTGCATGAACATCATCTTGTCACGCTCACATGTTCTAAATTATATGCGTGTTTTAATAATGCTGCAATTTTCTGTTGAAAATGAAGGGCAGGTTTGTGCATGAGTTCCCATTTCTCAGCTGCGTTGATGGGGGCCGAGACACGTGGAATGCAGGATTCATCTGCAGGAAAAAAACACACAAAGTGCATATTTGTCACATTTTCTGTATCGGTATGATTCACATGAAACACATATAAACTAAATAGCAACAGCTTGATAGGTCCGGGCGGGCGGTTGATAGTTTTTTGTTGTCTGAGGGAAGATTAATGCTGTACTGAATGCATCGAGGAGATGTGCTCATCTTTGAATTACTGCAGATATCCAATTACTGCACTCTGGTGCCCCGCAATGAACCTTTATCCATTCTGCAAACGAGCATGCTATCCCTAAATAATTTCCTCAACAAAGATGGTGCTGCACATTATGAAATATTCAAAACTCAATTTTCCTGCTCTATCAGACTTTGGAAAGATCCATAATTACATGATAATCCACACTCTAATTCATTTTGGGTACTTCGGGATTTTTAGGTATCTTTACAGTACAATGTTAACTTGTTGAAATATGGGATGAAGCCTTTATGTATCATTGTTTAGGGAATTATGTAAGTCAAACTTACTTATCTTTAGTATCGAGTTACTGCAGCCAGACAGGTGATACGTTGTCGGTTATTGTCAGACGGACTAAGAATATTGTACATGAATGGGCACAGAGACCAGATAAAAAACAGTTATTACAAAAGATGTCATGCTCCTTGAGATATAAACTTTCCTCAGAAGTTGTTAATATCTTCTAAGAATGACGTATTTATGTTTAAAAAAATAACGGCATCACATTACATGTAATTTGACACACGGTAAAATAATACAAAATATTAGAACAGTACTAGAAACCAAAAGGTGTGGAATGGTTTGACCTGCTGGGCAGAAACGGAAGTGGGGCTGGAGTTCAGTGAATGTGCAGCACACAGTGAGATGTGTCAGACTGGCATTTTAAAGGTGAACTAGATGAAGAGCTGTGTTCCATAACGCGCTGGCTTCACATCTACTGTGTAGCTGTTGCCACATATTTGTAGAAGTTTATAATGTATAACACAATTTAGACAGCACAGTGTCACTGTGAGACATTTAAGAAAGTGGGCCATAAAAAAATGCCTTAGCCTCTGGCTCTAAAACCAATACAGTTAAATGGAGCCGCTGACATTTTAGTATTGTAATATTGTTAGTCAGCCAATGCATGTGTGTTGCCTATGAGGTAGAGTGTGTCAAAACAGCTGTCAGTCACTGCGACAGAACGCTTGGCACGGCGACAGTAATGACGGCCTTGTTAAAATGTGATAACAGCGCTGAGCTTAAAGGCCAAAGCTGTCACAGCGGAGGAGAGAAGGCAGGGTGGAGCGGCGTGCTGGAGGAGGCTGCTGGAGTTCACAGATACACAACACCCCCACAGAAGTGCCATGTTACACGGGTCTCGCTCTCGTATTGCTTTTTCAGCTCCAAGTGGATTTAATGTGGCATATAGCCAACACAGGATTCCTAATGTCAATGTGAGAACACATTTGTAAAACGTGAACCAAATATAAAAAAAACAAATTCATGTTTGCATAAGTAATTACAGCCTTCAGCAAAACTCACCTAAATAATCACCGGTATCAAGACTCACGACAACGCCAAAGGAGTTACAAGCTACTGCATGCTGTGCATCGAACTATGGAAGTGGCCATTTGGAAGAAAGTTCTGCGGTTTGATGTTACCAAAATGCACCTGTTTAGTCATCAGACTAAATACCTCTCTATCTACTGTATCCATGTATAACTATCTATCTATCTATATCACATAAAATGAAATTCACAAATGCACTAAATAAAGAGGCTGCGATGAACTTTAGTACACATCAATCTGTTGTTAACAACATTTGTCATTTCCCTCTGCAAAAAAAAGACATATTTGCCAGTATAATCAAACCCGGATGCTCCTCATTTTCTCCACACTATTTTGTGATGAATTCCCATCTGCAAAGTATTTCTGAATACTTTGCCCAAGGAGGTGTAATTTAAATAATATCAGTCACTGTGCTGCTGCCAGAATAAGAATTATGTCCGGACTAATATCTCAACTGACACGCAGCAAAGGAAAGCCTGAATAACAAAAATGCAATGATTCACCCAACGTTATTATCATCCTAATTATAGTGAGGAATATAGTCACTTTCCCTGCTTAGATTCAGAACAAATGTGCAACATAATCAGTTATGTTAATTTTGTTCTGAAAGGTTGACTATCATTCATTTAAAGACTACAACAGAAATGTTTAATGGTGCAGAATTAGCAGAGACATTCGGTAAAATGAGGCCACAAACTAAAACACATACTCAACAACACCTTCTCCCTGGTCCCATCTAAAGGTCACACGAACCATATAAATATTAAACATTCATAGCAAATTTACAATCGTATGCAAACTAAAGCACACACTAAGAGCCTGCCCATTCTCCAGACACATTCTCATAATTAGATCACTATAACACATTTAATGAGACCAATCAGCACCGAACACTTTTACCTCCAAGGTCTCAGTCATTCACAGAGGCACTTCTCGGTCATTCTCCATTCATTTTCACAGTGTGTTCTCGGGGTCTCGGCGGTGTCGCTCCCCAGTGACTCCGTACCTGCAAGTACGCTGCACTTGGGGGGCCCTAATTAGATTCTCATGTGTATTTAATGGACTTAATTCCTTTTATCCTAGACGAGAGAGCGCCCGATGCTGCAACCACTGAAGGGAGCTCCCACCACACACACGAGTCACCTCGCAGAGGAACTTGTGCATAACATGTGTAACGTGTTTTTGTGCATGTGTGTGTGTGTGTGTGTGGACATGCACTCAACAGGACACAAAGCTGAAGCGACCTGCAGCAGAAAAATGTTTACACAGTCACCTGGACATGTATGTCTTTATTCTTTGGACTGGCTTTACTTCCAATTTTGTGGGGAACCTACACACCTGTATACATATTATAATCAACATAAAAAGAAATACTAAAATCAACAATTCTTTAATAGGGAGGTTCTGAATAGTGCTATGGCCGGTGTCTTGTTTGGCCCCTGCAATGTCAAACTCTCAATAAGTCTTTAAAAGAGTTTCATTTTAACTCCCAAAAGAGAAATCGACTTATAAATGGACTTATTTGGAATGTATGAGCAGGGCAAGGCCATAACAAAAATTCATTGTAAGTGTTCATTTTTTCCAGCAGACTTCTGAAACTATTTTTGAAGTCTTAATAACACAGTGAGTCAAGGACAAAAGCCAAATTATATCCGATTTCTTAACTCTAAACAAAAAATGTATAAAAGGTTCTGTCAATAATTCTTAATTGATTCTAATTCTACGGGTAGTAGAATCTATCTATAATATAAACTGTTCACGTGTAAGTGTATCAGGCCAATGGGAACTTGTCTCTTCAATGAGAAGAACAGCTGTCAGAAGAGACAAAGAGATGCACGTAACAGATGAACTGGGACTGTTGTTGGTATATGTGTCTTAAACACTCACACGACGACACCCACGCTGGTGTTTTAATGAGGACACACATCTGGACCAATCTCCCAATGCGGGGCTGTGATGCATGTGACCCCTGTGGTGAGCCCTTGCCCCCAACCCCACCAGGACACATAAAGCAGTAGCACAGCCCCTGTTAAAGGACTGCATGCGGAAATAAATCGGTGCTGGCGCTTCTTAACTGTCCAATTTGCATTGCCCCTGCACAAAGAGGCTAACGATGTTTTACAAGACAAACATTCACAAACCGCAAATATTCATGCGGAAAGACGAAAAGGAGGCGCTTTACTTATTACACATGTTCTTCAGCACACGACAGTATGTCTTTGTGTGTGCATCAATCCGATTTAACCCCGGCTGATGGGACTTCATCTAAATACTAAAACAGAAATTGCAAAACAATCTGACACAATCTTTGGGAGAGAAGTGTATGACTTTTGGAAGATAGTGAAACACAAAGACAGTTAATATGGAAGCAGTGAGACTGCCGATGGGAAAAGGAAAGATGAAGCGGGCGGTGAGATGAGAGTCGGGTGGTTTTATCTGGTGGGCAGGGAGACGGTGGCGGGAGGATCTGTCTCTGTTAGAGGGAACACGGCCCTGTTATTAAAGCCATTCATCACTGGCTGAATATTCTGCCTTTAATAGGCTCCGTCGTTAATTACCCAACTTTGTCAAGATAGGGAGTCAGGAGCTCGGCCCGCAGACGAGCTCACAAGTGCACACTGATACTTGAACACATCGGCAGATGATGGGAAACATTTTTATGGAAGCGGTGTCAGGGGAAGGTACACACACACACACACACACACACACACACACACACACGCTCTTTTACAAAAAGTAAAGGGTTTACATTCAACAACAGTAACACCGATACAACCCTTGAAAATGATCAGTTCAGTTTTTGTAAAAGCTGTCAAAGAAGCTTTCATTTAACTCTATTGTCATTTTGTGAATCATAGATTGTGAGTTGTACTGGATTAAATTGGATTACATTGCACAGATTCCGACCTTCCCTACGCGTGATTGTGTCTACGGTGGGACAGAAAAATACGGTCAATAAATTACATAATTGATTGACAGGAAACAAATTAAAAGCAATTTTGATAATTGATTGAAAAAGAAAAATCCGACTGCAAAAATGGGCAGAATTCATTGGTTGTAATGTCTCAAAGTGAACTAATTGCTGTTTTCTTTTTGTTTTCTTCAGTGGTGGAACGTACCAAACTTCTCAGGTACAGAATTGAGATGAATATAAACTTTCTTTCTTCATAATGCAACAATTTAGTTTGAGATACATCATGTTTAATAACTTTTGGTTTTATTCAGATTTCTTCATGGAAAACGTATCATCCAGTTATGAAATTATATTTTATACAAGAGTATAAAGGAAATATTAATGAATGCATTTATTCATAAATGAATTGTTCCCTTTTCTGTTTGACAAGTTCTTTCACCATGAAAGTCATTTATAATATCTTTATATTTGAGGCTTCTTAGCACTCTGGGAAACTGTGATTGGCATTTCACATTATTTTTTGACATTCTCCAAACCGCAAGATTAATTAAGCAAATTAACAGCAGATGAATTGCTAATGGATCTAATCATTGGTTGCAGTCTTAGAACTACATTAATGTGTTGTAAAACCCAATGAGGTCTGATCACCTTCATGCTTTATCCAGGTGCGTCCACTCGTTTCAACACAGGCAGGGACCAGGTAGCGTTTTACAGGCTTTATAGTGTCATTTTAGCTTACAGTAGAACTCTATGTCAACAACAACAGAGCGCGGCAGTGCTCTTCACGCACCTTTTAGAAGTTTCTCTAGTGGGAGCTCTCTGTGTCGCCCCACTCGTCTCTTTTATCCCTAATCAGACTCTTTTGTGAGGCTTTTATAATTAGCCACTTAACTATCCGGCAGAATGGAACTGTGGCTGTAAAGCATTTACAAGGCTCCTCGACAGGACACACGCCAGCACCTTTTGTTTAGCAATTAGTTTGTCTGCGAGGGACAAGACAAATAGGCTGGCAGAGCGTCTGGTTGCATCTTCCTACTGCCTGAGAGGGAGAGAGAGGAGAAGAGAGGCAGAGGAGGAGGAGGAAGAAGAAAGAGCTTCTGAGCCATTCGGCAACAATGAGTGTCGTACCACAAGGATTCGCTACAAGGGGCTGTAAAGTTTGCAGTCAGAGGAAACTAATGTGGAAATGAATAAAGCAGCTCTGACAAATATGATGATAAGAGACTCAGAGAGGACTGTGTAATAGGCTCCTATTTTTCGCACACTACTGATTAAGAACCGGCTAAGTGTCTGTAGAGATTCCCATGTGCACAATGCAGCGCGGGCAGAGTTTAGTATGCGTCCCAGTAGGGTTTCCTTTAGTACCCAGTCATTTACATTGTAGTTATCTGAAGACGGAAGGATTGCGAGGCGGTGTGACAACCGCTCCATTGATCCCTTTGGCCTGATTAGCTCACCAGTGTACCGTCAAAGCAAACTAATCAGATACATTGATCATGGAATACGTTTTAATGCTTCCCCGGGCAATAATACCATTTTTTGAAAGTCAAATTACTGGTTAGTTATCTGTGCAGGTGTGATGCTATTTGGGATTTTCCTGTAAGATGTCAGTATAAGTCAATGGCTCAATTTTAAATTCCATAACAGGAATACAGTAACAGCAGTAAAATGCCTATTTAATATCCATAACCTAGATTTTTGAGATTCATATTGCTGATGGGTGTTGCTCACTTCCATTATGCTGGCTTCATGGCAACTTGTCTGCCACTTTCCCGTTTGTCCAGGAGAGGTTGCTGTGTTCCCTGCATACAATGAGAGGTGGATGGGCCTGTCACACCCCCAAGAAGAGAGAGAGAGAATCAACCAAATACTTTATATTAAATTAAAGATCCATTGAAAGTCGACTCCCTCATTTTACTCCGTCAACAGAATACATTTAAACAAAACAGACACTGAACACATCAAAAGAAAACACGAGTACAATAATAAAGTCAGAACTGTGGAACAAAATGTGTAGTAATATCTGAGCCAGTGTTGTCGTCGATTTGTTGTCCTGACAGCCAAATTGGACCCACAAAGCAGGATCTAAATGAGGAAAAAACCTTTTGGTTGATGGTCGTCAGCGGGCAGCGCCTCCACGCTGAGCACACACTAATTGATTATAGATGTCATTTTCATCACTGACAGTAGAGGATCCATACATTGATTAGACTTCTATTATGGCTAGGCCAAGTAATTGTACTGCAATGCCTATTAACACACAATTACACAGCTCTGGAGAACAGTGTTTAGCTTGTTGACTCACACGTGTTCATATGTCTAATCCGCGTTCCAGAGACACATCACCTGCCCTTTGAAGGGGGATTTGAAAGAAAGACAGCTGACTTCTTCAGAGTCAAATACTCGTCACCCCATTTACACCTGTATCTAAACAAGCACTACAACAGAGTTTGAACAGATGCAAGCGATCGGGTGTCTCTCTGAGACCTGTGCTCCCGTGACGCCGGTGATCAAACGCTGCAATGGCGTAACATCCCTTCCTGTCTGTCACACCCTCAGGCTTGACATCAGCAGAGCGCCTTGCAGCTGCCAAATGTTCTCACGACAAAGGTAAAATGCCTCCATTAATGTCTATTGCTCTTTTTTGTCACTATTCTGCCCCGGCTGTAACTGCTTATCGTATCTTTTGATTTCTGCAGGATAAATCCACTTAGTTGGTTGAAAGGTTTTAACCAGCGGTGATATTTGATCCAGAAAAAACTGAAGGTTCCTTCTCTGGTGGTTTGATTCAAAAGTATTTGTGCATTAAGTTACAAAGATTTTTGAAATGATATATAATGTCATGTTTCAAAGACCAGAGATGTGTGATAAGTTGGAACCGTGCACTGACATCAAGACCTCAACATGAATTTTGCGTCACCAGGATAATGTGTACAATGACTTGTATCCCCTTAAGCCAAAGCGTCCTCTACTTTTAAATCCTTTAATGTGGGATGTAGTTCGGATTTCCGTCTTTCAAAGGGAGGAATCTGTCTCAAAATAGTAATGACTAGAAGCTTCTCTGAACAAACAAATACAATTGTGGGTAGGAGATTATGTTTTGGCCTCTGTGCTGTCCCACTAACCGCCTCAGGGCAGCTCATGCTACTTCTGCAACCCCTTCGTCGGGTCTCGACCCGCCAGTTTGGAACCGCTGCCCTGGACGGTGTCCACTCAAGTGAACGGTAGCGCTTCCAGTCGTGTTTTTAATCTTCTCGACAGTTTATGTCTCACCCGTCCGTCGCCTTTTAACGGGGCCTCATGCATGACGCCGTGTGACTTAAAAGCCTGCGAGTCAGACCTAATAAGCCAACGTCTAATCAGACAAGTCCCCGGCGCAAGGGCACAAAGTGGCTTGTGGGGAGCAGTAGAGACCTTCCCTGTGGTTGACTCAGCAGAGGAAGACAAAGACTTAAAAGCAGATGACGACTCGGTCTGCGCTGCGGTCACGTCGCTGCACAAACTTCTGGGCAATATGAACCGATGGGCCAACGGCACGTGAGCTTATTTTACTACAAACACGACTTCAAACGACTAATTTGAAGGAGCAAGCTTCTCCTTACTATTTAAATAATCTCCTCTTTCTAAATTCCTGTGTTCCTGTCTCTGTTTCCACATCTGTTTAACAGTCCCCCTGTTAATCATTTCTGTAGTGTTGCCTTTTTACTGGACCTGGGAGACCCAAACCCTGGTGTACCTGTTTGGAGCTTGATTAACACTGCATTTTAGCACACACACACCATTCAGACCCGGCGGAGGAAGCTTAGAGGGGTTGTTTGCTGAAGCCTGTGGTACGGGACAGATGGAGAGGTGATAAATGGGGAGGAGGGATGGTTATCACTCAATTCTTGTTGGCTTCATTGTGCAGAAATTGGTCCAACACGGACATGCCGAGTGAGAAAATGGGTTTCTGAGGCAGTGTTTAATGGTGGGGGGGGGGGTCTAAGGGGAGAAGAGAGCGCTTGAGTCGACGGGACAGGACAGGACGCCAGATAGGAGAGGAGGAGACAGGAGGAGGCAGAACGGCAGTGCAGCCGCGTCTCCTGACGCTGTCAGTCCCTGAGCACTAGAATATTGAAAAGCTTTTGTTTTGCCTAGTTAAACATGCACTGATGTGACACAAACTGTGAACAATGCCATTTCGCACGCACAGGAATCCTGTCTATATAATTCATGATGGAGTGACGATTGAAACGATGGCCAGCAGTTTGCTCTCAACACTATACAGCGGCTGTTAAGAAACATTCAGCTGTGTAAATGTGTTAACAGTGCTAAAATGAACATGTGTTTGACCTGTCAATTGTGATGATTCAAACTTGTATGAATTTGTATCAACTCATTAATAATAACCAGCCTTTAGCCCGAGGGTCTCGTGTCTGCTTCCATGTGACATCGAGCGGCTAACTAGTGAATTGATTGTCTTGGAAAAGTTGAAACTTTAAAGCTCATTATGACATTCTTCCCCAAACAGTGGCACATAATCATGAAACTCAGTTAGATAGAAGTATGTATGTTTATACAAGTTATCATTAGAGCAGACGGCGTTCTCACAAAGCAATGTGAAAACAAGTCGCTGTCCAGAAAACGCTACTTAATTTATGTCTACATCAACATGTAGTACGTCACTACGGAAGGAGGCAATGAAGTTGGTCACTATCTGGAGTTTACTGATGTCTTTTCTTGACACCTGGGACAAGATAAATGAGTGGGAGACAGACCACTTATTGTCTTATTGCAGGGCAGTAAATTGGGTCAACACTACAGAAATGTACAAGTAGTACGTGAACACTTTTGAAGTAGTATTTTATTCTCAATTGTAAAATGTTCTTAGAAAAAAAAAAGATTGTAGGATTTACGTATACTGGTAATACAAATACAATGTATGAAATCATAGCTCACCTGTGAAATAAATAACGTCTCAAGTGCAGGAATGCGCGTCTCGGCCGGCTTTGTCCAATCTGCTGGTTACTTGAACCCTAAAAACATGGATTCAGCAAATACACAGTAATTATTATTAAGAGAGACACACACACACACAACGAGAGAGAGGCTTGGAATGCCATGAGCATGAATTATACATCCCTCTAGAGGATTTTCTCTTTGGCTTTCTGCCTCATACCCTCTTTTTTTAGCAATTGTATATTATATTCTTGTAAAATCAACATCATCATATTATTATATATTATATTATACGAATATACGTCAGCATAAAAGGTTTTAACTGATCTGCATTAAAGACATTTGAGGAGGAGTTACAGCAGATGTGTGATGAATGCAGTGTTATGCTGTCATGGTTACCTCGATGCCCCGAAATACAGTTTCTTTTCTGTCTCGAGTAAATGAAATCAATACCTGTTTTATGTCATTCAGGTAAGAACAATTCTGTTTAAAATCTCTTATTTTAGAGTATAGATACTAATATATATATATATATAGAGAGAGAGAATTCCCTTATGATGAATGAATCATTTTCCATCACTGTGGGGAAACCTGATTTCTACTGACATTCAACGGACGTGTTTCCAGAGGAAGCCGAGGTATAGGTTAGTAAATTAAACTGTGGCAGTACACATTCCCTGTATATGTGAGTGTGCATGTGTGCGACAGATAAAACAAACCCAGGGACACGCCAACCATAATTGTGCAGGTGGCATTTTAGAAATACTCACACAACAGGGGTCAATTTCTCTTCAGGTCACTGAGAATGACATCATCAAACTACTATTAACTCTGCAAACAATCCTTGCACTGCTGCGTCTGTATTGACGGTATATTCCTTCAAAACAAACGGCAGGCTCCTGGCTTTGCCCTCAATCTAAAACCATAACCTCGAAGTGAATTACAGAGAAATGTCCGCCGCCTAGGAGCGACACCGAGGAGAGGAGAACTAAAAACGACACGGCAAACAAATCTGAGCAACCACTGCCCCCCCCCACCCCCCCACCAGTCCTCCCTGTTCTGTTCCTTCGGTAGGCTTATGCTCTTGTACTATATCTGTCTGCAAGTACTTTCTCTCTCACCTACACATAAACGCCATGTCCAGCGCAACGCACGCACGTATGATAGCGGGATGAACCACAAAGAGCTTTGTGTCACTTCCACTAATGAATACAAGCGGTGTCTCATCGGTTTAACCTGTTTGCTGGTCTTTTAAACACACAGGGAGCGAGTTTGGCAGCACGCCTCGTGAACGTGACCTCTTCTGCGTGGCCTTGTTTTAAGATGGGAGCTCCACAGAGGCGCAGTAAGCCCACGAGGGCAACGCGTGTATTGACATACAAACATGAGGAAAGCGTCCACATGCAGTCCACTGTTTTTCTGTAATAATAGCTAGCAGCCCTGGCGTTAAATAATTAATGCTGTCTATCCAATACAAAGTGGACGGCGTGCAGACGGCACTCCCCTGCTCTCCATCTCATTCTCTCTCGCTCCCCCGACAGACACGCCGCGCATGACTGGGCCTATTTATGTTTGTTTGTAATAATCGGCCTTTACTACATGCTCACATCGACGAAGCAGTAAGGATATTATATATTAATACATCCCTCAAAAACGGAGGTAACAAAGTGCTCGACAAGACAATAACAATTTGATGAAAACTGGCCGTAACGAGACTATAACTCAAACCACCAACAGAGGCCAGATGCTCACATTCAATCAGACTATCGCGCTTCTTTTTTCAAATCAACTTTGCTGCACTGCTATAATTAAATGTTAAATTAACCTTTTTCACATATTCACATATGACTTCTTCACAAGGTTGCTATCAAATTTGAGAGGAAAATATCTCAATAATGTTTTCTTTCTTAAATCTAAAAGCATTTCTTCAAATAAATACAATAATATAATTTTTTGGGGATCAAAATTATCATTGAAAAAATTGACAGGCCCACTTAGTAGAGGAGAACATATTCAGTGAAACGACCTTTGTTGAGGCCAAGGTCGGTAATGAAAGGGGTAAAAATTGATCCTAATGAGTGAACCAAATCATAACGATTTGTTGCCTCGACGTGGCCTCTCATTGAGCACTTCTTGTTTTTCTCTGCTGTTGTTACAAGAAACAATCTTTTTTTGGCATTGCAGTGCAATAAAAGCACAGAGGCACATCGAAGGTTATGGCAGGAGCAGTCACATGATCAATGCCCTCTCGACCCTCCTCTCCTTGCCCCTGCCACCACCGTTCTTCCTTTCTCCCCTCACCACCTTTCCTCCCAATCAATTAACTTCCCCAAGTAAACAGATCCGTCCCCACGCTCGCTGCTCCCTCCTGTAACCAGATACTCCTCCTCCTCCTCCTCCTCCTCCTGCTGCCTCTCCTCTTCGTCCCAGCCAAATCAGAGAGAGGAACCCGAAACCCCTCTGCCAGTGTGTGTCGAGGTAAGAAGGCTAAATAAAGACCGATGACATCATCTGCATATTCTTCATCATCATCCTCACAACTGACATCATGACCTCTGAATGGATCAGGGATGAAACATACAGCGGTTCCGTATAAAAATGTAACACATTGTAGCACTGTTCTGGAAACAGTAACAATATTCTCAACTTTTTCAATATTAAGAAGCCCACTTGGTTTTTAGCTGACTGACCTTTCGTGTTTCACTGCAATCAACGGATCTGAAATGCTTTAACAAACTGTTCTTGACACACGACAATCGCACAGCACAGCTGGCACCGTAGCAGGCCTCTAGGAAAGCACAGACATGTTGATCACCGCAGCAGAACGGACTTCTTCTATTTTATTTACACCTCCATCTGGAGAGCCAGTCTGTCCAGCCAGGCTGCACAAACAATCATGCAAGAGTGTCCCGTTTGTTTATTAATGAAACAGCTCCTTGCTCTACTCAAAAATAACAAGTGTTGAGACTTAAGCGGGTGCCATCTATACTTAGAGTTTTATTTTAGACGGATTTATTGTCCCCCTCTACATTAACATGTTGAGAGTGAGGAGCCTATGCTTAACATTTACAAAAAATGTACTGCAGTGTTTTGCAGAGGGAAAAAAATAACCTCCACATAAACCCACCTTCACATTATCTCGTCGATGAACTGGGTGACTACAAGAGGGAATTCCCATGAGTCCTTGAACACAGAATTGTTCATTCTTGCAACACCCCAGCCACCGAGAGTTGAGATGCAGGCAGGACCAATCCATATCTCCCGTGACCCACAGCAACATGTCGTTATGCTTGCTAATCAGATTTAGAGACAACAAGTGAAAGGATGGCCTCTCTGGGCCGTTTGTGTTCACAAATGGATCTGCTTAATATGGGAGATTAATAGACTGCTATCTAATCTTCCCCGTGATTGAAACTATGATCTGGTTACAGAGAAACATGATGGATGTTGAGGAGGTGGAACAGGAGAGTCATATTAACCCTTTCAAGGTAGAATGCAAGCTTGCTTTGCACGTTATTGACTGTTAAAAGACAATGCAGAGCAGCAATCACAATAATGAAGGTGTCTGCAGGGCAATTGGATTATTTGCAGCGGTATGCAAAGCCGCGTCGTTCAGCTCCCAGCTGTGTCGGATTCTAATCTAACGTAACTCTCAGAGGTTGTAAAGAAAAAAGAGTGTTCTTGTCTTGAGGATTTTATGTGTTGTATGCCCCACTTCTAATTTTAATTTAATTTAATAAGCAATAATTGTATAGATCATTTTTCTTTGCATGGCGATACTAGCTCTTGTTACATCAGGAAAAATAAATCATGCACAATGATGTATTATTTTTATCTTAATTTCACTTTTAAATATTCCACAGTACATTAGCTCAATCTTAGAATTATCACACTGCTAATTGGTTCAGAACAACAACAAAATTGAAAACATTCTTGATTAGATCCTTCTGTTATTCTTACAAAAAATGTTACCTGCAAAAAAAAGACATTGCACAGAAATCTGTTGCAGTGTCATTGGAGAGATGAGTGTATAAAATGACGTTTGATGGCTCTAAAGAACAAGATTTTCTTTTGCTATAATGGAATTCTCCACCAATCGTCTCAGTTGTTTTATGTTAAACAGGTTCAAACATTTTCAAAAACCTTGATGCATTTGTGGTGTTTGAAGCTCCCTGAACAAGGAAACGCTCTCTCTCCCCGGGTTGATATAAAATTGTTTCCCCAATCACTATGTGAGTGATGATGACTCTCTACTTTGTCCGTACAAACAGCGACCGAAGACGTCCTTGAGAGACGGATAATATCCACGAGTTCTTGGACCGATCAATAAAGAAACACAGAGATATTTATATGATGTGTTGAAACAAGAACTATTTGAGCTGTTGACTGGAAATATTCAAGTCAACAGCCAGAGATTTGATTTGCTTAGTTGACATGCTTCTGTACTTTCCACCACTTTCATGACCCACATTTTTTACATTTCTAAGGTGATTTCAAGCAGAGATCATTAAATGAAAAAGGGAGACCAGCGCCCCTCAAACACGTTACTTCTGCAGGATGTTCTGCTGTCTAGAGAATAAACAGATGAATGTTTGGGTGTAGCACCGTCATCGTTGGACCCCGTGAAGATCACAGAGGAAAGCTGTTGTCCCCGACAGGCGCTTGTTAGTCGCTACAGAACCATAATGACAGATGCCTCACAGGCAAACTAATTATCAGGTACTTAGCAGTCCGGACCTACAATACATCTCTCTCTCTCTCTCTCTCCATCACTCGCTCTGCATCTCCTTTTATTTTCTCTCCCCCCAGTTTCTCTCCCCCTTCTCTCTGTTCTCTCCGGGAAGCAGCTGGGGAAACTGGCCTTAAGCATATAACCATATGCCAGATATTTCCAGGGAAGGTGCGCCTTTCTGCCTGTGTATGTGTGCAAAAAGCCAGCAGGGGGAGGGGTCTGGATTATAGTAGAAACGTACCACGGTGTAACAGCTAAGTAGGACATTTATCAGTGGTTTTGCTTCCCTTGTTGTGCTTGTGTGTGAGTTGCTGAGTTTCCTCTCCATCCCACAACTAAATGCCTTCAACAGAATTTCTGTCACTTTCAAACACACACACACACACACACACACACACAGATAAGCAAACTGTATAGGCAGACTGCTGAGAGGGAGCTGCTGCTGACACTGACACAGCGTGCTCATTAGACGGGTTCTTTTTGGATGGAGGCCAAATATCTTCAGGTCATAAACCCACTGATGTAACATGCGATGTATGTCACTGATCTGGGAAAGGGTTCAAAAATGACCAGCTTGTGTTATCATTTACCCTGAGCACGTCACATTTAGCTGCTGAATACAAAGAAACAGCTTACAGTAAAGACATTAGGCTGCCACGGCGAAAGCATCGCCAGCGCATAAGACCAGCGTTATGTTGGTTGGTTTTCTCTGTCTGTCCTGAAATAGAATTCTCCACCCGGCCTGTACCGTGCGACTACAGTGACACTGTATACCTCGCCGGCTCCCCACCACTACTTTACTTACTTAAACTGAACTAACGCTGCAAGGTCTTGCATCTGGCATTAGTTAATAATTTGTTATTTGTTAGTAAACAATTTTGTTTTCGGTGTCTTGTTGGTGCTCAGTGGAGCTACAACCAGGACATATTTGGCAAAGCACTAAGCGCATAGTCCCTAAATATCCACCAGCCTGAAGTCTTATTCCAATGTTTTCTGTATTAAACAAACAAGGTATAGCGTGTCAACTTGTGAGTCTTAGTGACACCGGTGGGTGGACTCGTTATCAGGCTAGCTGTCTACACATTTTGTTTTTAGGGAAGATTGACTAAATGTCTCCTGGTGTTTGCTTCAAACTAATGTGAAGGAAATGGCATTGATCTTAAAAGGAACTGAATATGTGTATTTTTCAAAATGTCTAACTATTCTGTTAGAAAATTAATCTCCAGCCTGTACTCAAAGAAGCTTTTCAGCATCTGCAGTCCCACTAAATGAATGTAATAGTTCCACATACAGATGATTATACCTATTAGTTTCTCTTTATCATCTATATTTATTGATAACTCTCAAACACAGGAGTCCTTTTAGTGTCATTTGGGGGTAGATCCTGCAGCCTCCTTCTCCCCCCCCCCCTCCTCTCCTTTTCCTGCACACGTTTACCCCCTCAGGCTACGAGTAAAGAGGCAGCTTCCATCTCTCATTAACCTACTGGTTGAATAAATCAAAGTGCAGGCCAGAGAGGAGCACCCCGGCCTCGGACATTCAGATAAGAAGAACACCGAGCTCATAGCCTACAGCTCAGTGATATATAGATCTGCACAGGCTAATAGCAAAGTATTGACAGGGAAATGGTGTGCTTATCCTGCTCCTGCATGGTCCCCAAAGCAGATGGGATACACTTTAGGGAAGAAGAGGAGGGGGATGAGAGGATGAGGTAGAACTGCACTGGGACAAATTGGAGTCTTTATACCTTTATTTCAGCAAATTTGTCTTAGTTTGAGTCTTCAAACACACAACAATGGGTTTCAGCTTACTCTGCGCGTTTACACTAGACTGGTTCTGACTTTCTAAACAGCAAGCATTGAACGTCTACCTCACATTCATTTTGAAAATGCTTTTGAATTTGTTTTCCTAAATGCGTTTTCGTAAGTATTTCATTGCCCATTTATTGACTTGTAAAATTCTTTAAAAGGGAACAAAAAAGTTCAAGAAAGCATACTGCAGGATATTTTCTAACTCACTTTCCATGTTATTCCACAGAGCTGTATTCTTCATGCCTGCACCCAGAGCCAGAACAATTCCAAATACGCAGGCTGCAGCCAGCGATACTTTCCCCTGACTGGAAGCAATAGATCAAGATGTAGGCCGCACTCCCATTGGTGGAGTTTTTAATGCTGGAGTCAGTAGGTTATCGCTGTGGGACCTGCAGCACCTTGTTCTAAGTGCCAGCTTTATCACGCACAACCAATTCTTACTGCGATGTGTCTGTGGATGCAGTAGATGGGCCCTAATGGCAACACTTCATCAACCTCAGGGAAGATGTACAGAGAAACTGCAGCCTCTGATGTCAGATAAAGATGTTGATGCTCTTCCGTTGCTGGACCACCGGGAATAATTTGGTTTAAACCCGCAGCGCACCATCGCTGTAGTAGTTAGGAGCTTCCAACTGTCAGCTGACGTTCAACAATGCTGAGCCCGTATGACGTGCACATACAAAATGTACTGTATGAGCTCAGAGTGTCTCCGTATTTCACACCGTGTCCTCAAAAGAATCCTACTGCAGTGATATTGAAGAGGCAAGCAAATTATCCTGGTTCGGTTATCTGGAGACAAAATACTGCTGTGCTGCCACCAGGGGACAGCCAGGCTGACTACGATTGATTAAATGAATGCAGGATTGAGTTTTATAATGACTGACCCCCCCCCCATCGCCAAAAGCAGTCCAATAGCTTACACCAAAAGTCAATCAGATTATAATAACGCATGAGAAGAAGAATGCTCGAGCGCTCATCCGAATGCTACTTGGTGCCTTTCATATTTTACCGTAGTTGTGCCTTTACAGTTAAAGCTATGACATTTTATCCTTACTCTGAGTCAGCATTTTTGTGGTGGTTATGTTCATTTAAGGATGGAAAACAATGCACTGACAAACCCCTGATATTGGCAACTCTGGAATATAATGAGCATGCATCTGCATCAATGGGCACCGAGGGCAAAGACAATGCACCATCCTGCACCGCCAAATGCCTCTGCTCCTCTAAAGGAGACCGCACTTACATCTGGACACCAAGCACTGTACCGGGGCCTGTCTATGACCATGATTACCCACTTGACATCTTTATAGTAGCATGGCAGACATCCTCTTCGGCAGAGCTAGAGAGAGGGATGGAGAATGCCAAAGTGGCCCCCCAGTGCTGGTGTGGGACATCATAGTTTTGTGTTGAAATAATTAGCCTGTTTAGCTGCCATCTGGGCCCTGGTTGCTGGCGTGTGGCACGAGCCAGGTGCTTTATGGGTAATACCACAGAGAGACATGCAGCAGATGCTCATGGGTAGAGCTGCCCACCTTGGCACAGGTCTGAAATCAGCTAAACTCTATACAAATCTGAAGTAAAAACACAAGAGAGAATACGGGCAGTACTGGTTTGAGGGCGGTTTTCTTGAAGCAATTACAGTAATTAGTCAGGACCGGGACAGTGAAATCTGGCTGAAGTAAAAACTAAATCTGAAACTTTATGATTCTGCTAAAAACCACTCAGCAAATTTGAGCTCATGTAAAATCTATGACGTTGCATTCTGCTCAGAATTGAATCTGCGATAACCACATTCTTTCCAACATAAAAAAAGAAGCCAAATAAACCAAACAATCAACATCTTATCTTTGAAAACCAGGTGCTATTTAATTACTGCCCTGCCGCTCAAAATCGGAGGTGGTCTAAACATTTTTTAAGCAGTTCAGTAGACCAGTAACTTGATAAGGCCCCTGGATTTACTCGATGAGCTAGAAAGTTCCTGACCAAGCAGCATGCATGTGGTTGCTGTTCCCAGAGGGCTGGGAAACTGTATCTGCCCCGAAGAGCATCCTCTTTGGTAAGCACTTCTTATCCAGGCCATCACTGCAGGCCTAATATCCAGTAACTGCAGCTTTATGTGCGATCCAATACCCGGATCAATCCTATGATTGCCATTAACCCCTGAGATCTCTCTCTCGCTTTCTGTCTCTCTTGTTTTCTCTGTCTGTTGGTGAATCTTTCCCGCTTTTAATGTAGCAACAGCATCATAAAATCAAGAAGGAAAAAACTGCTTGTACATATTACTCTGTAACACTTTAAATTTCTCCAATTTTCCATATTGGTAGTAGCTCAGTAGGTTTGTGTTGAATCTCAGCATAAATTGGTATTAAGATGTCTATTTCAGTGTCTTAACATGAAGCATGAAAAGGTGAATATGTATGTTAGTGTGATGCATAGGTTTGTATTTTCTGTATCTACAGTATGATTAACAATGTGTGTGTGTGTGTGTGTGTGTGTGTGTGTGTGTGTGTGTGTGTTCGTGTGCATGCATGCTGGCTTGTGCTTGAGTCTGTGTATGTGTGAAGAAAGCTAGAAAGACTGTTATAAAGATAGATGGTGGGAAGAGGAAAGAGACAGTCGGTTTGAGACTTTGTTTGAAACTCCCAATGCTTTAGGGAGTATTGTCCCATATATTGTCCCATGTGACTGAGCAGAAGAAAGATACACTGAAGCAAAGACATGGAGCTCTTTCAGAGCATTTCTCAGGCTCTCACTGAATATAAATGGGTAGACATTGAAATTAGTGCATTTCTACACTCAAATAAAAATGGTGTTACATGCAACAAAATGGGAGTTATACATCTTGTTTAGAGGCGACAGTTTCAGTGGACATTCATCAAACATGTTAAAATGTCAATATGCCTCACCGCTGAAAAATATATACAATTTAAATGTGAGATTTTAATTTTTTTTATGTCAAAATTGAATTTTAAAAATGGGGTAAAGGGTAACATAATTTTTTTGTCTTAATCACATAATTGCTAAAACTAATCTTAAAGAAATAAGAGGCTCAAACTTGCATCAAACATGTGAGCTACATCCACTCAAAATGCAAATTCCACAACAGAAATAGTCAGTTAAATACAAGATAGTCAGTGATAAACAAAGACTAAAAGTAGCATTTGTATGCTGTAAAATTAAAAGCTGGAGAAAATCTTACTTGCAGGTAGAGAGTGAAAACATTTGTCTTTTTTCTATACAATTGCAAATGACAAATAGTGAACCACAGACAAGTATAGCTTCCGCCTAATCAGAAGTCTGAAAACTCCCTCTTACCTTGAGTGCTTCTTTTTTTTTCCAGAGGGTCGAGACCCCGGAGCTGGGATCCGGCTGTAGAACAGGAAAAGTTGATCACATCCTCTCTTTTCCCCCCCCGCAAACGTCGGAGGCCGCGAGGCAGCTTGCAGTGGCAGACTCCCTCACATTGAGACGCATGGCTGCCGGGGGGAACTGCCCAGGCGCCCGCTCCGTCGGAGGGGCTGGTCCATCGGCCCGGCAGCGAGAGACGAGGGGACCGGCACGCGGGGAGAAGGTCTGAGCCGGAGTGGGATCTGCTTGGAGGCTTTTTTCGCTTCTCCTTTCCTGAATGAAAGCCATCCCTAAGAGTGAATGGGTAATGAGAGACCGGCTCCTGAGATTTTAGCTTTCTTAATCATGTTCATAATTAATTCAAGAACATTGATAATTTCATTACATTCTTTTTGTCTTATCAATAAATGATGTGCCTGCACTTTTGGTCTTGTGTATACGGGGGAGAGAGAGGAGGACAGGGAGAGAGAGAGAGAAAGAGAGAGAGGGACAAGAGAAGTAATACAGCACTAAAAGCACAGGAGATGGAAAATGATACAAACAGGGAAGTGGTAATTATAATCTTTGACCGAGCCACTGGCAGCACAATATGAAGTCAAGTGGCTACAAATAATTAATAAGGCCTCCTGGTGTCCATGTGTGTGTGGTAAGGTTGGGGAGGTGGGGAAGGAGGGCGAACAAATGTCTTTGTTGAACATCATCTTCCCACCTCCCTTTTGGTAGTTGTTTTTACAAAAGAAGAAAAAAAGCAGGACACAACTATAAAGCATTGTTGCGTTCTGACAGACGCGATGTTAAACACACGGCATGCTGCCGTCATACATGTGCAGTCACCTTTAATCCCCGTCTCTAAACCAGAGGGTGTGGAGCGCGCCTGTCTTGTAATGCCCTTCGGATCCAATAAAGGCTCAGGTTGCAGGGACATTAGTGCACTGAAGCAGTTTCCAAGACCACTCTTCTGTCCCCTCCCTCCTCTTCCCGAACCCTCTGTCCGCTGAAGAGAAGAAAGAAGACGAGAACCATGTCTTGTTAGCTTCCAGTTTCTTTGGCAGGAGGAAAAATGAGATGATGCATTTTTAATGGTTAATCTGCAGAATATTCCATAACCCTTCACCTCTGTGCACGTGGTTATGGATTCTGTGCTTTATCAATCAAACTTTCTCTTCGCGACTGAGCTGAAAATAGAATGACAACAAGGATACGGCGGAGGAGAAAAAGGATGTAATGGATATCGCTGTTTCCTAAAAATACTGTGGGGATGATGGAGTCTGAAGAAGGCTCTGAATCACGGCCTCCTCTTTTACCCCGAAACAAGACGGGGAGATCTTAAAGCAGCCTAATCGGACGTTGAGGGATTGAGCTTTCTGTCAAAGGCCTAATCTGCAAACGGAAATAATAGAGCATGCTGTTTTTATATCAAACGTATCTGATGTGTAATCATTAATCCTTGGCAAAACAGGTGTTTCAAGCAGCATTGAGACACGTGTGGTGGGAGTTTCTCACTGAATGTCAGTTTTTGAATCAATTACCACACATGCTTTGTAGATACATCTCCCAGACGTCATTTGTGTCTAAAAATATTTGGTTAGATGAGTTTTTCCATGAAATCAGGGTAATTTGACCATATGAGCAGCGTGGCTACACAATTGCTAAAAGGCTATTTCATTTTTGCCACTTCCTAATGGATTTCCAACTTGTGACACAGTATAATATAGATTGGTAAAGCTATACGAGGCATTAGAGATTCAAGTACTTTATGTCCTATTTATTCCTTATGTGCCACATGCCCCATGTCTTGAGATATGACCAGCTCAACACAAGAAACCTTTAATAAAATAAAAAGTAAAGAGGGGAAAATAGAGATTTACAGCTGGCCATTTTGACAGTAGACTTGATATAAGGTGTTCATAACAAGTTTTGCATTTTATTCCGGGTCCCTTCACGCACGTTTTAATCATATTTTATGTGATCTATGTATGCAGCACTCATCCCCTCTCTGTCACCCAAGCTCTCCGATGTGTCCCTCTTTTAAACAGATTGCTACAATACTTGTAATCATGGTCCTTCCCAGCTGTGCTGCAGCAGGAGAGGGGAAGGGAGCAGCAGGCTATAGTATTACCATAATACCCACTCCCTCCCTCCGCCGTCCCAAGGGCCCATGTGGGGCTGCATGGGGATGTGGGGTAACTGTTGTGGAGGGGACTCAACTCGCTGCCGGTCTTGCAGGCTGTGTGTGTGTGTGTGTGTGTGTGTGTGTGTGTGTGTGTGTGTGTGTGTGTGTGTGTGTGTGTGTGTGTGTGTGTGTGTGTGTGTGTGTGACAGGGCTGAATCTGCCTGTGGGCAATGTAATAAAAGAGCCACACACTGCTGGTAGTGGTGGCGGCACTGCTGCTGCTGCTGTAGCTGCAGAGGAGGGGATAAATATAAACCAGGTCCGCATCAAGGAGACGGCCCCTCCAGTCACAGCCTGACTTACATCCTAATAATTAGGCCCCTTTCCAATAAACCAAGGATTTGTAGCCACGCATCTATTTTACTTGTGTTTGCTACTGCGGCGGGAGGGATGTTCGGTCTCTGGATGAAGCTGCAGCACTGAAGGAAAGTGGTCCAAAACGTTTGCTGAAGACTTTCAAACTTCTGAGGATTTTTTTTTCTTATCAGCATCTTATGGAATTCACATTTACATAATTAATGTAATATAACATTTTTATGTGATATAATCACTTATCTTGATGAGATGACAGTCAGGCAGACAGAATCACATGAACGAATCAAAATTATTCATGAATCCTTTCCAGTTCACGGACACGTTTGAAGCATAAACTGTATATTCGTTCTTACACACACACACACACACACACACACACACACTTCATTGTCTGTGATAGTGGCTAATCAATATGAGGCCTGCAGGTTGCAGTTTGCACGTTATCTCAAACATTCTAATGTGCACCGACTAATCTTTCTACTCTTATAGTCGCACCCCAATATGACCTCTTTGTTTGTGTTCTGTTCCCATTTGTTAGATTTGAAATACACTATTCGATATTCATGATCCATTTATTGTGTCAAAAATGATTATTTATATTGTCGTTATGAGTAATATACTCCAATTCCAATGCTAAGGAAAATTGTTATCCTGTTAGACTGAAAAGTGTTCACTTTTTCTGTCTAATATTTGAATATATTGTACTTTTTTGACAACGTATTTTTCCTGTCATTCCCTTAAACGCAATGCTTCAAATTGATTTCTCACATTTTTTCCCCCCTCTGGCTGCCTGACTGTCATCTCATCCCCGTAAATCACATTGATGTGTGTTTGAGAATTTCTGAAAAGCACACTAGGGAAGAGAGACAAGTAGCGATAGAGAGATGATGACGGTGAGAGGGGGAGAGGGTGGGAGTGACTGTGTGGGTGAGTCAGGTAGAGAGAGGGGGAGAGAGGGGAGTTGGGTGGGGTGGCAGTCTAAGCAGGGGGGTATCAGGCTAATTAAAGCAAGCATTTGTCAGAGATTAAGCCTTAAACGGAAAAGGTCATCTGAGCACCAGAGCGCAGTGTTTCGCTGCTGTGCTCTTAGGGCAGTCTAAACCTTTCCAAGCTAAATGGTAAGGATGCTATTTGACAGAGGTGTGGGGGGTGGGAGTGGGAGGTGGGGGAAGGGAGGGGGGACCGAGAGCCCGATCGCTGGTATCACTGACACTCGGGTCATTGGTTCTTCACTGTCCATTACACATGCTGGTCAAATCTGGCAATCGGTGTCATTTAGGGATGAAAAATAAGTGCTCGGACAAGATCAATAGATGCAGCCGTCTGTACCAGCTGTGATTAATTGACTGTCACCAATTAATGACCGGCCTGTTGCAATCTTAGAGGGACAAGGGGACCTGTGGAAAATGCATTTTCTCTCGTGTATTTCAGCCTGTTATTGGTGATTCTAGAGTGAGTTTCCCCCAGTAACAAATGCATGAACCACTTCAATGCTCAATTTGTAGGTCTATATGGCACACTAGAAAGTGCATCTTGCATGAAGGGTGCTCTTTGAAGTTATTTGTGATATCGAGAGGAATACGAGCTTGAACGGGAGCTCGTGCCGCAAACGCATTCACGCTTTTTTTTTAGTTCAATCAGAATCGGTTACTAAAAATATTTGATTATTTCCTTCTTTGTAGAGTTGTTTCAGAGGTCTATATAAAACATTCTTAGTATGCAGTGATAATACGAATTAACATCAAGCAAAGATATTCAAATTGCCAATCGACTTCGCGCAAAACATTTAACTAATTGATTGAATTGTGTATATTGACTCCAAACCTTCTCATAAACCCGATGGAGCTTTGAAAAACGAGTAAGAAGAAGTGGTGGCCTGTGATGCATTTACAATTCTGTTGAAAACAACAAAACAAGTACCGGGGATGTTTTTAAACCGGGATCAGTGTCCAGGCCTTTTTGCTGGCAGTCAATTCTAATGACATTAGATCCTGAGAAGATGTCGTGGTCTGAGATACAATAAAGCACAGTAGATGTTAGTTTGGATATGAGTAATGGCTCTGGAGGGCTAAACTGCGGTGGAGATGTAATTTGAAATATTTGTAGTGGAAATTATGCTAATATTAGATGGCTCTGTATCATCATTTATAGACGAAATTAGATCGTTTACCTGAGATGAAGGCTTGCTAAATATGACCTTGCAATCTTCATTATAGGCATGCTTAAAATGAGTGAACGTGCTCATCCAAGTAACACATTTTGTTAGTAATGTTAATATTTTGAAGGTTTTGCTGCGATTGATCATGAAAAAAAAAGAAAAGAAATATGAGAAACCAAAGCGAGAAACTACTACAACTTTGTTATTTAGAGCAAATTGACCAGTGTAATTTCTTGTTTTTACAACTCAGTAAAACCATGTCTGATTTTAATTTTGCCAGAACTGTGTGAATAATGCAAGGGAGTTTACTTAAAGGAGACTTCAACTGTCTCACCATCAAACCCATGAGTTTCGCTTCAGGTTGCCAACTTAATTGATGATATTTGGTATTTGAAAGTCAAATTCAAACATGAGATGTGTAGGGTTATTAATATAAACTTCAAACTTGTCTATTGTCCACAATACTGAAAACATAGAAGTGTTAACTTTATCAGGGACAATGCTTGCTTGCTATACTGTTTTATAGCCCTTCTGTCTTGGCAGAGGCTCTGGTCCAAGATTACTCCTGCAGCTGCTGCAAAAATAAACACTAAAATAGGAAATACAAAGAGGCCTAGAGAGAATGTTTATGGTGCCACATTTGAAAAAGTTAGAACTAGAAAGTCTATGGATCCTAAAAATTGAAATTGAAATATATGATTTGGTGTTTATTTTATTTGCCTTCAAATACACTCATCAACTTTCCTTCTCATAAAATAATATTTCCATTACGGAAAGAAAGTTAACTTTAAATAACATTTATTATTATCCTGTCCTGGAGACAAATCATTCAACTAATTTCCCTTTGTATAGGCAGCTTTAAAAAATATGCTTCCAAAAGCACATAACTTTAGTTATTAATTCACCTTTTTCAGCGAATGGTTTTGGTTATACAGCCTGTAAATGTACAGTAGTTAAGTTCAATTCAAGTAAATTCACTGAATTACTCGCTAAAAGATAATTTCTTTACTAGGGATTAATCGAGACGAAAACAGAATTTAAAGGAAGAGTGTTTAAAAAGATGATAATTTGGAAAAACATCAGGCATAAAAGCGGAAAAGAATAATTTAGCATAAGACAATTACTGGTAGTCGTTTTTCCTTCTCTGTAAAAGAACGTTCGTGGAATATGTTTACTAAAAATGTGCTTGATAGGTGATATAGGCCTACTGTTAAATATTGTTTAAATTACGGACAAATGAAACGCTGAATCCTTTTAGGCCTTTTTGGCTTCCCGTAGTTTCGGGAGCCGGCGCGCGTTGCCGCGGTGACTGGTGGGAGATTTGTACCTCCACGGTGGGTGGAAGTTTTGTTGCGTGTTTGCGCGCAGTGTCTCTCCGCAACAACAACAAAACAAAAAAAAACCATGGCGCTCAACTTCCAGACATCCACCCTTTCTCTGACTCTGCCCATTTCGTGCCAGATATGCCTCGGAAAGGTAAACCCCCGTTATGTTTTCAAATCGTTAAACGAAGATGACGTGTGCTCACGGTGCAAACTGACGTTTTGGGAACGTTGACGTTGCTGCGCGAGCAGTTCGACGTTAGCATACGTGTGCCTGTGTGTAGCTAACATTAGCTAACCGTACCGGATAGAACTGTTCCCTGCCTTTGTAGCAGCAGTCAAGCAGCCGTGTGTGCGCGTGTCTCCCCGTGCAGGTCAGGCAGCCGGTCGTCTGCGCCAACCACCACGTGTTCTGTTCGTCCTGCATGGAAATGTGGTTGAAGAAAACCAGCCAGTGTCCCACCTGCAGAGTCCCCATCACACCAGAGAACCCCTGCAGGGAAATCATCGGTGAGTAGCTCGATGCGAACCGGGGGAAGCGGACTCGGGGCAGTGAGGAGCGGAGCGGTAATGCTCATTGTGCCCGCAGCTTATCCGCCAAGTCCTCGTCATGTCGGATAGGGCGCGTGGACAGGGGTCGTTTCTGTTTGGGATGCGTCCCCTTCATTCGTGGAAGGCCAGGGTTACTGATTTGCTTTTGTCCCACTAGTCTATAGAGGGTAGACTTTGGCTGGGAGGAGAGCGGGCCAGGATAAAACAAGGTTTGATTTGCCACATTGTTGTTTTGGAAATGCATTCGAAGGGAGAAAACTTTCAGCAAATATCTTTTTTTGTTTTTGTTACCCAGTTTCGGTAGAGGAGGAAATGTTATTCACAATGGCAGAGACACACATATTGACTTTTCACACCTGCATGCAGTGTTTTTTTATGATTTAGGATGCTTTAGTTATTGATCAGACTTTCTTCCATGTATTGCTGGCCAGGTCATTTGGGATTAAATTGCATGGCCTAGTAGCTGCACACAGCATCTACAGTCCTGCTCTCTTTGAACCCTTTTCAATTCGATAAAAACCCAAGCAGTGCTTATTTTGAAATATTATATCTCGCTGACTATTCTCAAGGCACTTTTTTTTTTACTTTGGACCCAGGCTACCTGTTATGTGTTGAAGCAGACCTGTCCTGCACAAAGTTTGTGCTGAACAGAGATTACATTGATATAAAGACCTGAATCAAACTCTGTGCTTGATGAAGGCCGACAAGTATATTTTCCACCGTGGAATTTATACGTGGAGGCTACGAGGACAGGGCTTGAATATTTCATAAATTCAACCACAATTCGTTGTGTGATTCTCTGTATTTTGTATGTATTTTGTTGTCCAGTCTGTTCATCTGTGCTCGTGTAATCCTGTTATAGGGGGCACAAATGAGAGCGATCACCAGGATAGTCTCTCCATGAGGAAATGTCTAAGAAAAACCAGAGGAGAGCTTCTTTTGCGGGAGTATGAGGTATGGGTTTATCTCGTCAGGCGTTTTTGCAGCAATGACAAGCCGGTTGATGCTCTCAAATAGATATATCAAGGTTTTTCGCCACAAAAAGGGGGCGTAGGCTGTACCCTAAGCCTAAATATTATTTCAGGTTACAAAGTGTCCAACTTTCCAAAAATGTATTTATGTATTTACAATCTCACACTGTTTCTAACAGGAGGAAATTGAAGGGCTCATCAGAGAAAACGAGGAGCTGAAAATCAAAAATCAAAGTCTGGAGTCCCAGCTGAAGACAGCTTTGGACCCTTGCAGCATTAACGGATTGCACACAGACGACAAACAAGACAACCCCTATGTCCTGGAAGAATGGACAAACAAGCTGCGAGCTGCTACCGATGTTTGTGAGAAAGTAAAGCAGGACATGAATAAGCTAAAAGAGGTATGACATAATAATTCAATGTAAACTATTGTATTTGCCATTGTTTATTTATAGTTTGAGCAGAAAGCATCATTGATGTAACCAGAGTCCAGCTCTTCTTGTGCAGCGTGGTCTCAACAGTCACTGCGCTCCCATTGGTGGAATAGCGTTAGCTCTTATCTGGGTTAGCTTAGCTTCCATCACAGCTCTCCTACTCAAAGTGTTTCCGTAGTTAAACATAAGAAATGCAGTCAAATTAATGTGAATTATTGGCAGCCGCATGTACATGCGCAGGCCATAATGTTTTAGTGTAAATACTATGCTTGTCCGATTTTTGTTGCTACTGTTATGGAATCATTTGTAACATTGTTTGTGTCACTTTACCATCCTCAGGCAAACAAGGCATTAAGATCTCAAAATGTCGATCTTGTGCAAGAGAATATGAGATTGAAAAGCGAGGTGGCAAGCAGATCTCCCCAGAAGTAAGTATGTTTCATTCTTTAAAACATACATATTTTTATTTCTTTTACAGTTTTTACTCATTCAGTTAGAAGGGGACGCGCACTGACCCTTTGGTAATCCCACAAATTAAGGAACACTGTTCCTTTTATTTACAGCTCCAGTCCTTAAATGGCAAAAGTAGCATGCGTATACTTTCAGAATACCTTTAGTAGCTAGCTTAGCATTGAGGTGCCAACACTAATTAATGATGCACATATATTCTGCTAATGCTGGCTCTACAACTTTAAACTTGCATCTCCTCCCAACATCTCCGCGTAAAGACCATCACTTATATGGCATGTTTCTCTACAACCAGTAGCCCTGGTATAATGGTAGGGGAAACACTGCAACTTGACTTACTTTTTTCAAACATGTTCTCTGGTGTGTGGGTACACATCCTAGGTCAGTTAAATGTTAATAGGCTTTTCTGTCATCTGTCCTCAGGTTTGGTCGATGCACAGTCGCAGCACTGGAAGCTAAAATCCAGCAGCATGAGCGAGATGTGGACCACTTGAAGAGGGCTCTGGAGCGCAGCGACCAGTACATCGAAGACCTGGAGTCTCGGGTGAGGAAGTCAGAGAAGAGGGGTCCCGATAGACAGGAAGCGTGTAAAAACGGCATGGCTGAGTCCGAAACGCTCTCCCAGCAACACAAAATCAACATGATGATGAGAAGCTTGAGTGACAATGAGAGGGAGTCGATCTGCAGCAATCCAGTGGTAGAAGGTAAAACCTTTTCTCGCAATCCCAGTTTGATGTTCATGCCATCTGCAGAGCACAAAGAGACTAATAAGAATCCGACTGGAAACCAGAAAAACAGGGATTTGGAAAGCACCTTGGCCGACATTTTGCCCAGCACTCCATCCTCGGCCTTCCGGTCGCTGACCCTTAGAAGCCCTGGCGTCCGTGAAAAGAAAGTGGCATTTAAACCAGTGTCTTACCTGAGGAGACTCGATTTTGAGGAATTTCCGAGCCCCGACAAGAGCAGCAGCACCACGGAGAACCAATTTGGCAGGCTTAACAAATTCGCCAATGGCTCGTCCGCAGATCCCGACGTGGAACCCTCAAAGTCCGTCTTCTGGGTCGATTGGCAGAGTTCAAAATCTAACGGCGAGTCGTGTCCTGGTCCAACTGAAGACGGCTCGATTGAAGAAGCCGCATCCAGCACTCTGGAAGGCGATGAGTCGGGTGGTTTTGATATTTCCAGCGAGGCGTCCATGGATGCCGCATACCTGGACAAAATCTCCGAGTTGGACTCCATGATGTTGGATGGAGAGAGTTCCAGTAGCCGGGGGTCACAGCTCTCGCTGGCCTCCTCCCCTCATGTAAACTTGGAAAAACACTCTGGTCCCAGAAGCCAAAACGCGCTCGGGTGTCTCGTCAAGGGGCGGCGGCGAACACGCGACGCCGTGCGACCAGAAGAAGCACTCGCCGCTAAACAACACAGGAGGCACCTCGAGGGATCAAGAGGCCCCAAAAGGCTCGGCAGAGAAAAGCGCGCTGGTGCCGGATGGGAAGAGTGGAGGCCACGCCCCCTACGGCGGGCCCCCTCACGCCGACGAACTGTCTTTCGATTTGCTGTTTGATTCCCTGGACGAGAACCAGGCCGGCCCCTCCGGCTCTCTGAGCCCGGCAAGCCAAGACCATGACCATGTGAACTCGTCCTTCTCGTCCCCCGGCCGCACCGGTAAACCCGTCAACGCAACAAGAGAGAGACAAGCGCTGAACACCAGCCAGCCGACAAAGAGGAAGTCTCACAGTCCCTTTAACACAAGCAGTCCCACGAAGCTTTCAAAGCTCATGTGAAGGTTTTTAGCCTGTGTGCCGCTTGTCTCCATCAGGCTTCAAAACCCCATGTGGATCGAACATTAACTCCACCTTTCTGCATAACGAATCTGCGAATGTGATGGATTCGTCTAAGTTATTGTCCGTTTGTATAAATTGAGACAAAATATGATCGTTTCCTTTTGTGTATTCCACTCGTAGTGCTCCGATGCAGTTAAATGCCCTTAAGGCAGCAGTCTGGGATTCTGTACTCTTTGTACGGCTGCAACAGTTTAGGTGCTGAGACATTTGTCAAACATACTTTCAGTCTACTTGTGTGTGTGTGCTTTGTCCTTTTCATGTTATTCAGTAAACATGGTCCATGTGGTAATCTCGTTATGATGGTACACAATACTGAAGACGGAACTATCATGTGAAAATGGATATTTTGAAATGAATATTGCAGTTCAAGAGTTTGTTAGAAAATAAAGTAGTAACGCAAGGAGAATAAATGAATGACTTGCCTTTTGTTTTTGCTGTTGCTTCACGTCATCTGATTACCCAATTAACTTGTCAGACATTGCCATTTTACTGTTTTCATGCATTATAGCAATTATTAATTCCCTTCTCTAAAAGACATGCATAGCCTGTTAGTGCGGTATGGGAGCCTGTAACGACACGCATTAGAGACCTCACACGGAAAGTAATTCCATTATAGCGCTAAGCGCCTTATTTATCATGTAAATTTAACGATAGCATGTATATTTCACATACCTCTAATAGCTGCATGAAATTTTAATTGGCTAACCGTTGTGGTTTGAATAAATGAAGTGTTAATTCATTGGGATTAATTAATTTAGGTGAAGACTGTGTGGAAGGTTATGCTGGTGTGTTAAATCAATTTGTTTAGTGCTCATCTGGCGATGATGGGCTCTAATGACAAGACGGCGGCCTCATTACTTCAAAGGGTTCGGATGAGAGACAGAAGGGACGAAGACTGCAACATTTAAACGTGTGCCATTGTTGTAAACTCAACCCCTCTAGTCTTTTCAACTTATTAATTTTACAGACATTAAAAATGCCGTATATTTATAGGGATTTTTAAGCCAATACATATTTACAAAAAAAACGTCCTGAAATCAGATGGATGAGCACCAGTCTCCAGCGTGCTTCCGAGCAAGGAACGAGGCCTGAAGGCATCGGGACCGAAGCAGCTCGGCGGATGGATGGATGGATGGATGGATGGAGTGAGCCCTTACACTTACACGCGCAGGCGTCTAGTCTCCAGATGTTCCAGCCTGGCCTGTGAGCACCCCCCCCCCCCCCCTTCCTCCCCCCTTTTATCCGCCAGCCTGTGCGCTGTTCTGGCAGCGTTTATGTCTCGCGAGATCAGCCGAGCACGGGCTTGACGAGATCCGAGGCGCTCAGGTGTAAGAGCCCCTCTCATCCCCAGCAGTGGGAAACAGTAGACGGATAAGTGCGTCTGAGAGGCTGCAGGCATCTCTGTGATCTCCGGGCTCGCGGCTGCTCTCGGCTCACACTACACAGCGAACCCCAACCGCATCACCGCTGGATAGGCAAAGGACCGCTGTGCATCTATGACTATTTCCCTGCTCTTGTAGCAGTCCCCGACCCACCTACCCCCCTGCCCCCCTACCCCCTTACCCTCCTACCCTTTCTTCTCGCACACTTAAATTAGAGAAGCTCGCCAAGATGATGTCCATGAACAGCAAACAGCCGCACTTCGCGATGCATCCCTCTTTACCGGAGCACAAGTACACCACTTTGCATTCCAGCTCGGAAGCTATAAGGAGAGCCTGTCTACAAACTCCACAGGTAAATTGTACCCGCAAAAACTTCCACTTTGTGTTTTTTGTTTTTGTTTTGTTGTTGCTGCATGTAGCGCTGGAAGCGGTCGGTGCGCAACAACAAGCGACGCTCCGAGGCGCGATCGTCCGGACGCGCACTTGCTGGCTTTTACACCCGCGTGTCCCACGGCGATCACCGGAGTCTTCTCTTCAGAAGCATGTCGACGCAAAGCCTGTCTTTGATGTTTTTGTAATAATTGTGGATGTCACGTCGCCTCGCGAGAAATACTCCTGTTGTGTGTGGCCTAAAGTCTCGACTGACCGATATATATATTCATGTTGTATATCTTCTCTTGTCCCGCGTCTCCTCTCTCTCTCACGGTGTCTTTTTCTTCCCGTTCTAGCTAATTCTCTACCCCTCGTTCTCTCCTTTTCGGTATCCACCCCTCGCAGCTCCAGAATAACATATTCGCCAGCCTGGATGAGACCCTGCTGGCCCGCGCGGAAGCTTTGGCGGCCGTGGACATCGCCGTGTCCCAGGGCAAGACGCACCCGTTCAAGCCCGATGCCACCTACCACACGATGAGCACGGTGCCGTGCTCGTCGGGCTCCACCGTGCCGCTGGCCCACCACCACCACCACCATCACCACCACCACCACCAGAACCTGGAGCACCAGGACATCATGGACCACATCACCTCGCCGTCGCTCGCCCTGATGTCCGGCGGGCACGACGGCTCCGGCGGAGGTGGCGGCGGGGGTGGCGTGGGTGGCGGCGGAGGGCTCATCTCGCCCTCCTCCGCCCATCCGCACTCGCACATGCACGGCTTGAGCCACCTCTCCCACCAGGCCATGAGCATGAACTCGCCTCTCACCCACCACGGGCTCTTACCGGGCCACCACGGAGGGGGTCACGGCGGCCAAGGACTCCCTAACGCCGGACTCCCCTCCATCAACGACTCGGACACGGACCCAAGGGAGCTGGAGGCTTTCGCGGAGCGCTTCAAGCAGCGGAGGATCAAGCTGGGGGTGACCCAGGCGGACGTGGGTGGCGCGCTGGCTAATCTCAAAATCCCCGGCGTGGGATCACTGAGCCAAAGTACAATTTGTCGATTCGAGTCGTTAACTCTCTCCCACAACAACATGATCGCGCTCAAACCGATCCTGCAGGCCTGGCTGGAGGAGGCCGAGGGGGCCCAGAGGGAGAAAATGAGCAAACCGGACATTTTCAATGGAGGGGAAAAGAAACGTAAGAGGACCTCGATAGCGGCCCCGGAGAAGAGGTCTTTGGAGGCGTACTTCGCCGTGCAGCCTCGGCCGTCGTCCGAGAAAATAGCGGCGATAGCTGAGAAGTTGGACCTGAAAAAAAATGTGGTGCGAGTGTGGTTTTGCAACCAAAGACAGAAGCAGAAGCGGTTGAAATTTTCCGCAGCTCACTGACGGGCAAACAGAAAACGACGAGGTGGAAAAACAACAAAAACTTGTGTGACTGAATTTGGGGACCAAGGGACACTTAAGACACCATTTTCAGTCTTGTGTCCACAGCGATTTTACACGTTGGTGCGCAATGGGCTTTAGATCCCCGTTTGACCAGGCTTCGTCTTGTTTATTTTCACGTTATCGGTGAATGTGAAGTATGCAAATAACAGATTACACAAATTTCACTCCGTTGTCACGAGAGGGAAGTTTAGCGACGTCGACATTGCCTTTTAACACACGCGGGAAGAGGTATTTTGCTTGATACTACAGCGAGTTATTTTCTCCTAATAGGACTTTTATTTGAAGTATAGCCATTTACGAATTACCTCATTGATTGTTGAGCTGTGTTATGGGGTTTGATTCTTTTCGTCGTTGTTGTTATAGAATAATTCATGAGTCTGTTCATTTATTCATGTGTTCATTTATTCTCTTTTGGAGGCTGCTATCAACTCAAATTTAGTTTGCAAACTTTTACGACGAACGAAAACAAAATGTTCAGGCCTGCATGGAAACCTTCACGGGCAGTAAACTGGCCTCCACGGGCCGTCACATCTAGAGATATATTTATTTTGAATTTGCACAGAAAAAGACCCTTTTAGGTTTATAGATCGGTTGTGTTGAGATGGTTTTGTATGTACAGACACTTTGTCACTTATCAGCGGGGGAACTCCTGCGTTTTGGAGATACATTTATTCGGGTCCATGGGAACCGCATTGGCCTCGCGAGGATGTGTTCCAAACAGATCCAAAGGACACGTGAACGCCTCGTCTGCAGAAGAAGAAGAAGAAGTTTTCCGTCATGTGTTTTCGTTTGCGGTGCAAACTCTCTACACTATGCATTTGGGGAAACCATCACTGCGTACAGTAGAGCTGTCTGCTGGTAGACCTTTATTCTGTGGATGGTGTGGGTCACTGTTAAATGCCTGTTTTCACGTTGAGATCACCACGTTGTTTGTCGTGTTAACTGTTACGGAAACGTTGTGTAAGTAATATTTTACTTTGTGCCCGAGTATGTTTACAAAAACTGCGGCGAAGTGTGCGTGATGGAAAATGTCCCACTGTCTCCTTCCCTCTCTCACAACTTCTCCTTCTGTTGTCCTCTTTCTTTCATTGGTACTATTCATCCTGTAAGCCAAATTCAACAGGGAAGTGTGTTCTAGCAATCTTCTAATAAATTGAGGAAGGAAAAAAAAATATGCTTTACTGGTTGTGATTGGGCCCACGCTGAACATTATTATGGAGGTTTTGAGGTAAATATTGGCGGCGTGCTTGAAGTATTGTGGCCACGTACTCACTATAAATTGAGACCACGTTTTTTAAAATATTTTTTTCCGTTTTGATATGTTATTAAATGACTTCATTTAAAAACATTTGCTCGCATTTTTTAAATCGAAGTGTTCATTAATCAACATAATGACTGGGTCTTTTAAAAAATATATGTCTTATAGATGGTTTCGGAAGCCAAATCATATACAAATTAAGCATTGTCACAGGAAAAATACTCCATTGGCACATTTTAAAACCGAAACAGATTTTTTTTTCTTCTTTTACATTCATTACAATTTTTGTGCCAGTTTTAAAATGAACGTAGATCGTGTAAACAACACGTCTACAATAATACCAACAATAATAATGAGATATATATATTATAAGTATAAATATAAGCAATGATTGGAACAGGTTTTGGGGTTTTGGTTATACAGCAGAATAGGCTGTTAAATGAAACATTGATTTGTATATCTGCAATTCTTAAGACAACGTTACTGTATTTTTCTGTGATGAAACTGACCTGACAATCGACATTGGTGAAGTTTCACTGCACTCAAAATAAGTAAGAGAGAGAGAGAGAGGGAGCTATGGAGAGAAGGGGATTAAGAATAGAAGAAACTAAATTTATTTATCTAAAATAAAAAAAAGACCTCTAACCCCCTACACATATTCATATTCACCCTCCTCCTTGGAGTGTGAGCTTCACTCTGCGCTGCATCTAACAATGCATTTTGAAATGCAGGCAATGCAATATTAATCGCGATTCGCCGATATAAAATGCAATATTTTCAGACAGCTATCGGGGTTTCAAGGGAAGCAGGTGTAAGAAGGAATCTGCTGCTTAAAAGCAGAGAAAGCGGCTCCCTATTGCCTTTCCTTAGCTTTTGGCCAGACGAGCAGTTTTAACGTGAGTAAAACATATTGGAGTCAAATTTGCTTTGTTAATCCCTTTGCTTTCGTTAATACTATCATTC